ATGCGAGAGTTGATGGGAGAAATGCTAGAGGGAGGCCTAGGTTTGGATGAATGGATGGAGTAAGGAGAGCCCTGAATGATAAGAGGATGGATGTGAGGGAAGCAAGTGAGCGTGCTAGGAAAAGGAATGAGTTTGGAGCGATTGTGACGCAGCTCTGATAGGCATCTGCTGTTACTAAGGGGCTGCATCCTACAGAGGTAGCCCTGTGGTAGGGGCAGTAGGAGGAGTTGGCAGTTGTGAAGCGACACAAGTTGTAAAGAGCCGGGAGGATGGGCTGTGGCACTCCAGCAGTCCCATCTGAATGGTCGCTAGCTCCCTCGTCATTGCCCATAGAGCAAAGTAATCCCCTTATTGTTTTCTTTTATTGATGTTGGCTACTCCCCAGTTAAAGGGGGAAACAGCCAATGTATATATATATATATATATATATATATATATATATATATATATATATATATATATATATATATATATATATATATATATATATATATATATATATATATATATATATATATATATATATATATATATATATATATATATATATATATATATATATATATATATATATATATATATATATATATATATATATATATATATATATATATATATATATATATATATATATATATATATATATATATATATATATATATATATTAAGTGAGAGACGGAAACTAAATATGTTTGAGACGAAATGCCTGAGGAGTATGATTGGTGTATCTCGATTGGATAGGGTTAAGAATGAAGTGGTGAGAGCAAGAACTGGTGTGAGGAGAGAAATTGCAGCCAAAGTAGATATGAATGTTCTGATATGGTTTGGCCATGTGGAAAGGATGGATGATGAAAGGCTGCATCTTACAGAGGTAGCCCTGTGGTAGGGGTAGTAGGAGGAGTTGGCAGTTGTGAAGCGAGACAGGTTGTGGAAGAGCCGGGAGGATAGGCTGTGGCACTCCAGCAGTGCCCTCTGAACGGTCGCTAGCTCCCTCGTCATTGCCCATAGAGCAAAGTAATCCCCTTATTGTTTTCCTTTCTTGACGTCGGCTACCCCCCAATTAAAGGGGGAAACAGCCAAGGTAGTAAATATATATATATATATATATATATATATATATATATATATATATATATATATATATATATATATATATATATATATATATATATATATATATATATTTCATGGCCCGAATGAGATTGGGAATTGAATAAAATGCTAAAATGAAGCCACGAGTGAGGTTGGGGAATCTGTAATATGAACATAGTGGCATTCAGTTAGAATGCGTTCATTCCTAAGTATAGCAGATATAAGCTATAAGGTTGGATTCCTTTTAACCTTCTGTGGTGTAGTGGTAGCGCCTTGACTTAGTAATCTTAAGTCCTAGGTTCGAGTCCCGGTCGGGGTAAAAAATGATTCATATATATATATATATATATATATATATATATATATATATATATATATATATATATATATATATATATATATATATATATATATATATATATATATATATATATATATATATATATATGTCGTAGGTTCAGGTCCCAGTCGGGGTAAAAAAAAATTATTCACATATATATATATATATATATATATATATATATATATATATATATATATATATATATATATATATATATATATATATATATATATATATATATATATATATATATATATATATATATGTATGTATATATATATATATATATATATATATATATATATATATATATATATATATATATATATATATATATATATATATATATATATATATATATATATATATATATATATATATATATATATATATATATATATATATATATATATATATATATATATATATATATATATATATATATATATATATATATATATATATATATATATATATATATATATATATATATATATATATATATATATATATATATATATATATATATATATATATATATATATATATATATATATATATATATATATATATATATATATATATTCTTTTACTAACTTAAATTTAAAGTTTTTGAGTTACAATTCGACAGAATTACCTCAGGAGACATGGGGGAGTTATATATTTCCTCTCCCTTTCTATACTTAAGATCGGGTAGGTACTTAACTACCTTCATTTTTGCTCTCTTTCCTCTTCCTACCCAAAAATACAGCTCAGTATCTGTCTTCTGGATATCAAATGGCTTGCTTTTGCGGGGATTTTTGCGTGTAGGCGATGTTCCTGCGTGCTAAAGCTGCTACCAGTGACAGATGGTGTTTTTCTTACACTATCCGTGCATTATAAGTAGCGAGGTCGGTAATGGAGATGCATTGTTCGATTTAGAGAAAACCTGAACTGACTTGATCCTCAAGGCTCCCATTTCTATAGTTCCTGTCACTCACTATTCCCACTCCCTTAGGGTAAGGTGTCTAATTATGGACGTAAGTTCTGCCAAAGGCAAGTACAGACTTCAGACTAATGTGACATGGGCTCTGTATGCCGTCCTGTGGCGCGGGTTTCTGAGTGTGCACTCTGCCCTCTAGCAGCTATAGGAGTCTATATCAGATGCCGTACGACAAAATATCTTATTTGGCTCAACTGTAATTATAAATTTTGTTCCATACTTGGTTACGATGATTGATGATAATTCAATAAAAATCATGAGAAAAAGTGGAGGTTTTATTACTCAAACTTAGATGTCCGACATGGCGTGTTCTACTCCAGTGAAAAAAACAAAACAATAGCGCACGAATTAATCAGCTCAAAAGCTATACATAACATGAAAAATCCTAATATGGAGGAACTGGCAAACACGGGTATTATCCTGAGCCAGTCTTATGTACAGCCTATATGCACCCCAACTCGATCAGCCTTACTCACTGGCAGATATCCCCACGCTCTTGGCAGACAGGTAAGTAGTGTTTTTAGCTGAAGTTTGGGTACATAATTTGGGATTGTCCATTGTAGATTGTAATAAAATGTTAAATGCTTATGATGATCTCAAAATAAATGTTTTGGGTAAAGTTGGAGTGGATGTTTACTATAATTCTCTGCAAGTGAAACAGACATTTTATGTTGTAGGGAATCCAAATGGCGACGAGGTACAAAGGACCAATGCAGCAGCAAAAGGAACTTCTGGTTTGCAGTATTTAAGTGAAGTTTTTGCAGTTTTGAGGTAGCCGAAAATTGGGTAAGCTTCTGACTTCCGAGATTTTCGTTCCCGTGGCCACCCTCATGTTTTGATCAAGTTTTGCAGTTAGCACTGGAGCCTTCATAGATGCCGTATTATAACTGTTTAAGCCTAAGGCTGACGATTTTTTCAAGATTGGAAAGCTATAGTGATTATTTTCCAAGGTGTACCCTAGATTGATGATAGCCTATGGTAGGCCAATTGTGTTTATCGGTAACCTTGTTTCCAGTGTTTTGTGGACGGTAGCCTTGATTGATCATAGCCTACCGTAAGCATATGGTGCTTAACCCCAGTGCTTTGAGGAGTGGAGTAAAACAAATTGCATATAGGCCTAGCCTAGTTCTATGATGTTTTAGCTTATGTTGTCAGTGCTATAATATTTAGCCTATTCTGTCTGTGCCATGATTGCATGTTGTGTATTTTGAGATTATTACCAGTTCACCCAGTGACTTAGCCTATAATCATGCCTCAAGAAAATGAAAATAGGCCTAACAACAGAGTGAACATTGATCATTTTAATCCTTCAAAGATTTCTTTTGAATTGTGGTTAAGTTTGTTGGAAGCAAATTTTTTAAATTTGGAAATAACTGAGGCAAATAGTAAAAAAAAATTACTTCTGGTTTCTATTGGTACTGAAGTTTATGCTATTTTAGGAAACATTTGTGCCCCAGATTTACCACATACTAAGTCGTATGAGGATTTATGCAAATTACTTAAGGCACATTATGATGTAAAGCCTAGTTATCATAGAAGTTTATTGGCTTTTCAACAAAGGAGGAAAAAAGGAGGTGAGACATTAAAAGATTTGTATGCAGACCTGAAGTGTCTAGCCAAAGACTGTGATTTTGGTAGCCACTTTGATTCTCGTGTGCGGGATCAGTTGTTTATGGCTCTTGAAAATGAGGTTTATTTTTCAAATCTGGTTGCTGAAAATTTAAATTTGAAGGTTATGTCTTCTATCCAAATAGTTGAGAGAGTTTTGAATTTTGAACAAGCTTATGTTTCTGAAAAGGCTGGTGTTGTTCAAAAGGTTAAAACCCCAACCAATGGTCCCATGAGTAAGTCAGTTTCTTGTAAACACTGTGGTTACCCTCATGATAGTGCAAAATGTCGCTTTAAGAATTTAACATGTAATTTATGTGGTAAGAAAGGACATTTAAAACAAGTTTGTTGGAAGGCTTCAAAAGATGTCAAAGGTAATGTGAAGCCAAAGCCAATAAAAGAAAGTTTTAATAAGGCTTCTGAGAAAAAACATAAGGTTAAAGTTAAAGCAGTAGACAAGGTAGCAGTTTCCAGTGATACTGATGAAGAAAGACTGTTGTCAGTAAAAAATGTCAATGCTATTGGTAAAGATGAAGTGAATATTTTGGTTAATGGTAAGTTTGTACCTTTTGAGGTGGATACAGGTGCTGCTGTGAGTACCTTGACTAAAGATTGGGTTCATAATTTGGGATTGTCCATTGTAGATTGTAATAAAATGTTAAATGCTTATGATGATCTCAAAATAAATGTTTTGGGTAAAGTTGGAGTGGATGTTTACTATAATTCTCTGCAAGTGAAACAGACATTTTATGTTGTAGGGAATCATAATTCTAACTTATGTGGCAAAGATTTGATGCCAAAAATAGGTATTTATTTGTCTGGTATTAATGATTCTTCTAAAATTTCTAAAGTCAATGGTTCTGTGGTAGAATTGTTGAATGATTATGAAGTTAATCCTAATAAAACCTCCACTTTTTCTCATGATTTTTATTGAATTATCATCAATCATCGTAACCAAGTATGGAACAAATGGCGACGAGGATGGGATCCGAACCCACGCAGGGAAACCCTATTGGATTGCTAATCCAATAGGGTTTCCCTGCGTGGGTTCGGATCCCATCCTCGTCGCCATTTGTTCCATACTTGGTTACGATGATTGATGATAATTCAATAAAAATCATGAGAAAAAGTGGAGGTTTTATTACTCAAACTTAGATGTCCGACATGGCGTGTTCTACTCCAGTGAAAAAAACAAAACAATAGCGCACGAAGTAATCAGCTCAAAAGTTATACATAACATGAAAAATCCTAATATGGAGGAACTGGCAAACACGGGTATTATCCTGAGCCAGTCTTATGTACAGCCTATATGCACCCCAACTCGATCAGCCTTACTCACTGGCAGAAATTTCATGACAATAACAGTAGTTAACAATAATTATCTCTAAATAAGCTTCTCAAAATCGTTAATATCTTTATCTCGTCGAAATGTTACAATTATCATATGAAGATGATATACACTTTTCAACAAGAAGCAAAAAATATATATAACAAACGTGTATCTAAAAGAATATAAAAGTTTGTATCTGTGCATGCAGTAATAAAGTAAAAAAAAGTAATATTTCATTTGCAACATTAAAGAATGAATTTTGCTTAAGTTTCATAATCCCTTAAGGAATCGTACATAAAAAAAAAATAACATATATATTCTTCTACGAACTTAAATTTAAATATTTTTTCGAGTGACTATTCAACAGAATTACCTCAGGAGATAGTGGGGAAGTCATATATTTTTCCTCCTTTTCTATACTTACGATCGGTTAGGTACTCTCTTTTTTACTCTTTTCTTTATCTACCCACAATACTGCTCAATATTTGTCTTCTGGACTTCAGATGGCTAGCTTTAGCAGGGAGAATTGTGTGCAGGCGCTGTTCCTCCCCTGTCTCTTTGGTTTCTGGATCAACTTCGTCTCTTTCAAATACAGGAATCGGTTGCTCAACATTCTTGTAGTCATTTCTTGTGAGTTTACACTCCCTTCTTTATGACCAAGCTGAAATAATGGTGACACACATTATCATGGCTTAAACTTCGAAGGTTTTTTTTTTTATCTATTTAGAAAATATTCTTTCCAACAAATAATGAAAATACTGCAGCTAGAAAAAAAAATAAAAAATCATTCATTGATCTGCGTCCTTTATCACTTAATATCTCTCTTGGAATTTTCGGAAATTGAATAATAATCTCATTGGTGGGGTAGAGGACACAAAAGAAAAAAGAAAATAAAATAAAATCTGTATATTGGCCATACCTGGGCAGGTGGAACATCACTTTGCCTCAAAAATATCTCTTAATAGGTATTGCAACAGCTACAGCACCTCCCGTTAAACCTATGCTCATATTAACAAATATGCCTTCTTCAATTGCATATGGCTTGCAGTAAGGCACGTGTGATGCAAGGGAAGAGTCCTTCCAGACCCAGTCCCCATCCTGCTTCTTAACAAACTTCTCGCGATTCCATTTGCAAGCATCCCTCCCATTATTTCCTCAGTCAGTCATACTCGTTCTCTTTCTCACTCATTCATACTCACAACTCACACTCTTCAAACATTTCCCCCAAGAGATCTGTTTACAGCGCTGTTTTCTTTCCCCGTCACTCTGAAGGAGTGTGTGTATGAGACTGCAATCTGCCCGGGCAGTCACATGACTGTGTCAACGGTCCTATCTCCTACCTATACTCCCCACCTACGGTATGGTAGGGTGACACCCTAACCTCCCTATCACGGCACAATTTACTCTACTCTCTTTCCCCGCCTGCAGAACATTTTAACGAACAAAAAACTCTTTATATCGAGCAGTAATAAGCTTAATAACATATAAAAAATCTTTAATTCTTCAAAGGGTATGGTATACACGTGCTTAATAGCAAAAGATCAGTACAGTAACTATTACCTCAAAATAACGAAGTTGGGAGATCGATCAATCACTTCCGCATTCATTTCATGAAAAATCACACGTGATAAAGAAAAATCTTATAAGCTGATTCAAGTATATTTCTCAATATAATTCTTACGCACATTTTGGAGTATATAAAAAACTCTACAACTTACATTCTATCTCTACACACTGTCACTTTTGCAATCGTTTCTAGGTAAAATTTCTCTACTTTCGCTTTAGAAAAGGAACATAAAAATTATTTTACACATATATTATTTTTTTTTTCAATTAGAATCAATACCTTCGCCTGTTTAATACTAAAGTTAGGCAATGATAAAAATAAACTGAACACCCTTCAAATGCAATCACTCGCTATATTGTTCAAATTATAACAAAAATCGAGTTTATTACTGCTTATAGCTATTAGTACAAATTATCTAGTTTAGTAATGGGTACAAAAATTATACTTTTATTAATTTACTAAAGCCATACTCCCTTTTATATACGGGGTGGTTGAGTCAAAGCATAAATACAAAGTAAAATGGCAGAGTCCTCCGGCCTAAATTTCTTTTAATAATGGTCACATTACTCACTGGATAAAAATTACAAGTACTTAGCCATTTTGGGATGCTACTTGAGGAACGTCACGGCCACCAGCACTGGAGGAGGGGGTTTTCCTTTCTTCTGGGCTCGTGGATTTTCTCTCCGGCGTTGCCCATATCTCTTGTAAAATCACCAATTCACTATCACAGACACCTTCTTAATCGAGTTCAGCAACAAATAACGCTGGGTAGGGGCGTTGTTTCTCAAAGCAACATTTGCAGTGCGGCGCACGGTGAGATACATGAATCGCGCTGAATTTTTCTCCCAGTTGACGTTTCTCATTCTTCGTGAACAAAGTTTCTGCAACTTTACTTCGGAGTCACAATGTAAGGGACAATTTTTACTGGTTGTGCTTTCTCGATTCTCTGAGAGTCGTTGGAGCCTGAGGCGTCGCTCTTGGCATCGCTTGCTTTTAGGCGTCTTGAAGTTTCTTCTAACTCGAGGATTCGACGAATCTTTTCTACCTCGAACATTGCTTCCAGAGATGCGTTATTATCTGTTTCTTACATTTTGCACAGCACGAGATGTACTTGCATTAATTTCTTCTTGTCTCTTCACGGTAATTTAAGAGTGGAATCATCCTGAGCTGCCACCACTGACGTATTAGAGTTTACTATAATACAAGAATAACTGGAAGTTCATAAAGTTATATCTCACCCAAATGTCTTTAATAACTTATTTTAGTTCTTAATTTACTGGGTAGCATTATAACAGATATGCATCTTTTAGTTTATACGTATTTATTTAGTTCTAAATTTATTCTACACCTCAATGCTCCTCGTCTAAACCTCAAAATTCCCATTCCCCTTAAGATAAGTCTAAGATTTTATTCGTGACCCGATCAAATTCTAACTGACTCTCTCGACTTTTACTAACTCTTACTTTCTTGTATGACCAAGATGGCAGGGCGTGGCAGGCTTGGACAGCCTTGCCAATAGGATTCCAGAGAAGGAGGAATTCCCTCCCTTGTGGGTGATTTTGAGGCTGGGCTATCAAGAAGGCCTATGGAGTATTTTCACAGGTGCACGTACGTACGTACATGTAGATGTTTGTCCTGGGAATGTCTTGAACTTTGTGACACTTTTGACCTCTATCGGCAACTGGCGCCTATATGTGAGAGGCCTATGGAGTGAACCATATATTTTGATGGTACTTTTCGTAAACACCCATCCTGCCCAGAAAATACAAGGGGAAAATATCAATTACACACTTGACCCTTCTACACCACGTGGGCTATTTCTATTTCACTTTATATCTTAAGCTTTTCTTACGACACAATAATAATAATAATAATAATAATAATAATAATAATAATAATAATAATAATAATAATAATAATAATAATAATAATAATAATAATAATAATAATAATAACTAATTATAATAACTAATAATAATAATAATGAAAATAATGATGATACTAACAATGATAATAATGTTAGTAAAGTAGAACATTAGTAATAAATTTCACATTAAGATACCTGAAATGGAGATATGAGGTGACTGAGCATATATGTTCATAAGTATAGTACATTAGTATAGTAGTACTCTCAAGATATAACAGCTATAGTAAAAAGTAAACAGATGATGATAATAATAATAATAATAATAATAATAATAATAATAATAATAATAATAATAATAATAATAATAATAATAATAATAATCTTCTTCTTCTTCTTCCTCTATTTGCGTTCCCATTTTCATATGGGGTCGCATCTCTTCACTAGTCGTCTCCACTGGTTCCGGTCCATCACTTGCTCCTCCTCCAGCTGTCTCTCTCTGAGATCCTCCTTCAGTCGGTCCTTCCACCGTAGTTTAGGTCTTCCTCGTCTACGTCTGCCCTCCACGTCCATCTCCATCACTCTCACACCCACGTAGTCTTCTTCTCTCCTCTTCACATGACCGAACCACTGTAATCTCCTCTCCTGCGCTTTCGCCGACGCCTCCACCACCTTCACTGTACCTCTGATCTGGTCATTTCGTATCCTGTCCTCCCTCGTCACCCCACACATCCACCTCAGCATTCTCATTTCTGCGACATCTATCTTCCTTTCTTGAACCTTTTTCACCGGCCACGTCTCCGCACCGTACAGCAACGCTGGTCTCACAACTGACTTGTACACTTTTCCTTTCACTCTAGCACTGATTTTCTTGTCACATAGCACCCCTGATGTTCTCTTCCAGCTGTTCCACGCTACCTGGATCCTATGATCAATCTCTCTCTCTAGGTCTCCATCCTTCATTACGTAGGAGCCGAGGTATTTGAAGGCGTCCACTTTTGGGAGCTTGTGGTCTTGCATGAACAGGTCGCCTCCTTGTGTCACATTGCACTCCAGGTACTCCGTTTTCTGTCTGCTCACCTTCAGTCCGTAATCCTCCAGCAAACCCCTCCATAGCTCCAACCTCTTTTGCAATTCTTCACGGCTCTCGGAGACCAAAACAATATCGTCTGCAAAGAGCATGCTCCATGGTGCCTCCTTTGTCACTTCCTCCACCATCACATCCATGAGAAGGTTAAATAGATAGGGGCTAAGAGCTGATCCCTGATGGAGTCCAACTTTCACCTGAAAAGGCTCTGTAGTGCCAA